CCTGTTTTAAGGTTCTTTCAGCTTCTTATAGGCTTATATTCCCATCTTTCATGATGTTAGGGAAGTTTGTTTTTTTCCAACACCACTTCTCTGTTATATTTTGGGTGAATTTAATATACATTCTAGATAACTGACTCCCTCTTTGTTGCTATTGTTATGTGCCATTGAGTCACTTCTGACTCATAGTGACCCTATAGGATTTCTCAGGCTGTAATGTTTATGGAAAAGGAGCTCTGGTAGCATATTGGTTACGAGTCGGGTTGCCAGCCTCAAGGTCAGCAGTTCGAAACTACCAGCAGTTCCGCAGGAGAAAGATGCGGCATTCTGCTCCTGTAAAGATTTACAGCCTCGGAAACCCTGTATAGGTCACTATGAGTCAGAAACGACTCCACAGAACTTAACAACAGCAACAACATTTTTTATGGAAAGGAGCTCTGGCAGGGTAGTGGTTATGAGGTGGGCTGCTAACCTCAGGTCAGAGGTTCGAAATTACCAGCCTGCAGGAGAAAGATGCAGGCTGGTAGTTTCGAACTGATAGTTTCATCTGCAGGAGAAAGATAGGCTTTCTACTCCAGTAAAGATTTACAGCCTCTGAAACCCTGTGTATGTTAGTTTATGAGTTGGAACTGACTCCACAGCTCACCACCACCACCACCAATCTTTATGGAAGCAGATTGCTACATGTTTTTCCTTCAGAGCAGCCAGTGAGCTCAATTCACCAACCTATTGATTTGTGACTGAGCACTTAACCATTTTACTACCTGGGTGCCTAATTCCCTCTTGGTTGGTGGTGGTGGTGTTAAGTGATGTTGAGTCAGTTCCATGTCATGAGGACCTAATATGGGGTTTCTGAGAGGAGGCTGGTGGTTTAAACCACCAACTTTGGTTAGCAGTCCAGTGCTTATCCTAAAGCACCACACCAGCACTCCATCTTTGTTGTTAAGTGCCGTCAAGTCAGATCCAACCCATAGTGACCCTGAATAGGGTTTCCGAGATGCTGCTGGTGAACTTGAACGGCTTTGCAGTCTGGCACATTATCTTAACTCACAGCACCACCCCAGGACTCCATCTTTAGCAGTGTTTAAATACTATTTAACCACCTATCCATAGAAGCTGGTCTGTATACTTGATTATTCCAGTGATAGCAGTACTTTTAGTATCTTTTATTTCTGGTTTTTGCTGATTGTTAATAGTGGTATACCACGTGGTTTGTTGGATAAACTTTGTGAGGTAGTGCTGAATTTTCATTAGTAGTAGTCCTCTGACTTACCTGAAGGAAAATCTGAAGAGGAATTATTTTTGCCAGGAGTCAGGGGGTACCTATATGTAGGATTGTGTAGCTTTATAATCTAAATGTAGAGGTTCTGATTCCTGGAGTTCTTTGTTGTTGTTGTTGTTCTGTGCCGTGGAGTCAGTTCCGACTCATAGCAACCCTGAACAGGGTTTCCAAGGCTATAAATCTTTACGGGAGCAGAAAGCCTCATCTTTCTCCTGCGGAACTGCTGGTAGTTTTGAACAACTGACCTTGCGGTTCACAGCCCGATTCATAACCACAACACTACTAGAGCTCCTTCTAGTCACATTAAAATTTTGTGTGGTGTTGTTGTTAAGTGCCACTGAGACAGTTCCAACTCATAGCGACCCAGTATAGGTTTCTCGTGAGTTTGAACCATCAACCCCGTGTTTAGCCACCCAGTGCTTATCAGCGCCACCAAGGTTAGTGTTACATTTTTTTTTCTTAAAAAGTTATACTAAGTTCGGTGCTACCAACAGTATTTTAAAGTGCCTTTCCCCCACACTCCCTCCTCATCACTATGCCATTTTTGTCATTTTGATAGACAAAAAATGTTCACTTTTAACTTCCATGCGTTTGACTAGCACCTGTTTATGACCTAAGACTTGCTAATTCACTCTGCTCTTTTTTTCCTTATTAGTGCTTGTTTTTCTTACTGATTAGTAAATGTATTTTCAATATGAAGAATAGTAACAGTTGTCATAATTTGCAAATGTTTTGTTTTTTTGCTGTTTATATTTTAAACTGTTTTGTACTTAAAACTGTTGTGAAACAGATTTTTTTCAAATTTCTAAGCTATTCACTCATAACATTTTTACTGTTTATATTTTTATTATAGTTTACAAAAGCAAATCGGTCTTCCATTCAGCAATTTATATGCAAATGTTTTGTGACATTGGTTGCAATCCCCTTGATGTAACAACAGTCTTCCCCATTTCCCCCTGGTTTCCCCATTGCCATTCATTCATCCTTCTTTTTGCCCTTTGTTGCCATCTGAGCTTTGTTTTGGGGAACACGATACTGTGTTGATCTCATCTGATTGATTGTATGTGGATTAATTCCTCTCATGTTACTGTTTAGTATATTGTATGGTTGAAAGGTGATCCCTGGGAGTGGGTTCAGTTGAGGTTTGAAGTGTGTCTAAGGACCATAGTCTCCAGTGTTCTATCAATTCTATCAAACCAGTAAGTCTGCTCTTGCTGTCTTATGATTTAGAATTTTGTTCTACATTTTTCACCCATTCTGTCCTGGACTTTGTATTGTGATCCCAATTAGCATGGTTGGTAATGGCAGCAGGGCATTTTCTAGTTTTTCTCATGTCAGACCAGTGGGCACTTTGGTATGTGTGGCCTTATTAGTCCTCTGGACTAATTCTTTCCTTGATACTTTTATCTTTTTACTCTTCTTTGCTTCAGACGATGAGAGTTCAATAGCTGCATCTTAGATGACTGCTTACAAGCTTTTAAGACCCCAGTCACTGCTCACCAAACTAGGATGCAGAACATAGTTGTTCCCTGAGACTGTCATCCTAAGTCCCAAAGCTCAGTGAATCATTCCCTCCAGTTGTTTAGTTATAGCTAAGATGTTTTCAGAACATTGTCCCATGTATGTTCTACAATATCTTGGATATTGACTGCACATTGAAATTTGTTGTTGTTCAGTGTCATCAGTGACCTCGTATAGGGTTTTTGAGGAGCAACTGGTGAGCTTGAACTGCCAACCTTGCAGTCAAACCAACTTTGCAATCCAGCACATTAACCCACAGTGCCACACCAAGACATTGAAATACATAGGTAGAAATATCCTCTTCCAAAGCGACGTGTGTTCGTAGGTCGTAGGTGTATTCACCTTTGCCTTTCCTCATCTGTTTAGCTTGCATGTCTTAACCTATGTATCTACTCAAAGATGTTAGTTTCTTTTTATTATTATTAAAGAATTCTGTGTTCAGTGGTGTTTACCTTTGTTGTCCTTTGCTCTTAGGCAACTTTCAGTGATTTCTTTTGCATTGGTCATGTTGTCTTGCCCTCCCCGATAGCATATATTGCCTCTGCTTTCACTCCTGTTACTACATGTGTACACTTTAGTGATTTTCCCTTTATTCCCCTCCCATTCCTAGTAACCATCAAAGTATATTTCTAAAGTGTATAAACCTTTTCTAGGAACTCTGGTAGAGTAGTGGTTATGAATTGGGCTGCTAACCTCAGAGTCAGTAGTTCGAAACTACCAGCTGTTCCATGGGAAAGATGAGGCTTTCTGCTTCCAGAAAGATTTACAGCCTTGGAAACCCTGTACAGGGTCACTATGAGTCAGAACTGAGTCCACGTCACAAAACCACCCCCACCATAAACCTTTTCTTGACTTTTTATGATGTTGTTGTTATGTGCTGTGGAGTCGGTTCCGACTCATAGCAACCCTGCATAGGGTTTCCGAGGCTGTTAATCTTTACGGGAGCAGAATGCCTCATCTTTCTCCCATGGAGCAGCTGGTAATTTCGAACTGCTGACCTTGTGGTTCCCAGCTCGATTCATAACCACTACGCTACAAGAGTCACTTTTATGATAGTGATCTTATATAATATTTCTCTTTTTGCAGTTTCCTTATTTCACTCAACATACTATCCTTTTAGGCTCATTCATGTTAGGAGGTGTTTCATGGATTCTTTATTATTATTTAATGTTTCATAGTATTCCATTGTGTGTATGTTTCATAGTTTAATTATCCATTCACCTGTTAATGGGCAATGAAGTTGGTTCCATCTTTGTGCTACTGTTGAACATGGGTGTGTACATATATGATGTTTCTCTAAGATATATATCTAGTAGTGGGGCTACTATGGTATTTCTGTTTCCAGCGTTTTAAAGAAGCACCATGCCGGTTTCCACATTTTATAGTTCCACCAGCAGTGTAAGAGAGTTCTCAGGAAAATAAGAAAACACGACTCTTAGCTTATTGGTGTTTTCTATTTTATTAGTTATTTTGTTTTTGTCATCATAATCTCCCAAAATACACTTTTAAAATGGCATAAGGTTCAGATTACAGAGTCCTGCTGTGGCACTGTAGGGTAGGCACTGGATTGCTAACCACGGGGTCAGTGATTCAAAGCCACCAGCCATTCCTTTGAAACCCTATATAGGGTCATATGAGTCAACAGCACTTAACAACAATAACATTAGAAACCTCATTCTGTTTGTGCGGAGAAGACAAAATCTGTTTCGTATCTTGTGTGAATAAAGAAGGACTTGCCTTTGATAGCCTTGATACAAGGAAGGAATTTTTTTTAACCCTTTCGTGACTCGTGGAGTTTATCGACACCAACATTTTAGCCTGTCAGGTTTCTTGGGAACCTCCTATCCTGGTTTGGCTAAATGCTACTCCAGGCTTGCATAAATGGATCTGAAGAAATTCCACCCACCAATCCTACACCACCAGAGTAAGCTTGGGACATCCGTATCCCACATTATTGTATAATAATCCTTATTACATCAGTTTTTTCCCTTTGATTTCAGCTTGCCTTCTATTACTTCTAAGACATACGGAATCAACAAAGAATTCAAAGCAGAAACTCATGAAAGGGTTCAGGTGCTTATAAGTTACCTTCTTCATAGTATATTTGGTTAAGTATGGTTTTTGCACAGTTGAACAAGCTAGAGTTAGGTACAAACAAATGGTGAGAAGGCCAAAATGATTCGTTTCCATTTTTTTTTAGGACAAATGAAAAGAACTAAATGTGCTGAAATCGATGTTGAGACACCAGACTCCATTCTGGTTAATACAAATCTGCGAGCATTGATCAACAAACACACCTTTTCAGTTTTACCTGGGGATTGCCAGCAGCGGTTACTTCTCCTACTTCCAGAAGTGGATCGACAGGTATATTAACTCATACTGAAGCAGTTTTGTAACCCTTCTTAGACCCCACCCCCCACCCATTCCATTTAGAATTCCATAAGAATCTGTTAAAAATAATTTTATTTTTTTTACTTTCTATGTACATTTATAAAGCAATATTAATGATGCTAAAGTATTTTAATGGAAGCTTTCTTAATAGCATGGCCTCTAAGATTTGTTAAGGAGACTCTGGTGGCACTGTGGGCTAAGTGTTGGGCTGGTAATGAGGTTGGCGATTCAAACCCACCAGCCACTTAGTGGAAGAAGAATGAGGCTGTCTGCTCTCATAAAGATTTACTAAAAGTTTGGGAAGAATCAAGTCAGAGACCACAGAGATTTAAGCTGATCAGGACTAGGGTAGAGTTTTCTCCTCTTAAAGGGAAGGATAAGACCATTATGATTTTCTTCTTTCTCTTTAGTTGTTTTTTTTTTTAATTGAGAATTAGAAGAAGGTTTACAGAGTAAATCCGTTTTTTACCAATAGGATTTTCTAAGCTTTAAAAGAATTACTACTTTGGTAAACTTACTATATGTTCTTATGTTCTAAGTAATATGTTAAAATTCTCTAACCCATGAAAAGATTTTTTTCTTATTTATCATAAGATAATTAAAATTAATGGTGAGTATGCTAACTATTTAAGTCTGTGTAGTCAAATAATTGGGATTAAAAACTAAATCTAATTCTGAAAATGATCTTTCTTCTAAAAGTGCATTGATCTTAGTTATATAAAGCTATGAGTCAGCACAACTCAAAGCAGGTCAGATTCCATTTTCTAGTGTTTCAAATAAACCAGGAATAATACCTCCAGAAAAAGAAACAAAGATGCAACTATACTCTGCTCACATCTTATTTAGCAAAGTAGAAGACTGACATTTCTACAGATTTTAGATGATCAACTATATCACAGATTAAGTCAGTTTGATAAGTAAACTAGGGAAAATATTGTCAACATATAAAATATTTTCAACATATTGCTCTATAGTATGCATACTGTTGTTTTAGTGCCATCAAGTCTATTCTGACTCTTAGTTACCCTCTGTAGGGTTTCTGAAGGAGCTCTGGTAGCGTAGTAGTTACGAGTTGGGCTGCTAACCTCAAGGTCAGCAGTTCAAAACTACCAGCTGTTCCTTGGGAGAAAGATGAGGCTTTCTGCTCCCATAAAGATTTATAGCCTCAGAAACCCTGCACAGGGTCGCTATGAGTCCAAACCGACTCCACAATTTGGTGACATCTAGCTAAACACACATACTGTGGAAATACCCTGTAGAAATAAAAACACAACTATATTCATCTATATCAGAATGTTTACTGCAGCTTTGGTGAGTATGGGAAACACAGAATACAAAATGTATGTATGTCATTGGGAATGGGTAAATTAATTAGGGTACATTCATACATTGAAACAATATGCAACCATTGTATAGAAGCTAAAATTATGCCAGTTGACTTGGAGAAATTGCTACACTGTATTAAGAAAAGTAAGATGCAAATCAGTGTGTGTAACTTGTTTCCATTTGTGTAGGACAGTCCTACAGCACTACACCAGGACAAACTGCTCCCCTCACAAAACTTATTTCTTATCTTGTTTGCTTGCAAGTGGTTCTACAAACAGATTTGTAATCATTGTAAATGGAGCTGAATCAGGAGCACAGGTTAAACAAAAGAGGAATTTTTAAGAAAAAATGCTATTATATTTTTAAAAAAAGGGACATGTCCATAGTATTAGGGTAAGAGGAATTTTTAAGAAAAAGTGCTATTATATTTTTAAAAAAAGGGACATGTCCATAGTATTAGGGTATTATTGATACAATACGGTCATCTTTCTATAAAGTAAATGATTTACATTCTTCTCTATAAAAAGAGAAAAGGAAGTAACACATGATACCTTAATTTATTTTGTAAGGTGTTCTTTGCTTATTCTTTGACCCAGGTTGGTGCAGATGGTTTGATGAAGTTAAATGGTTCAGCCCTTAATAATGAGTTCTTTACTTCAGCAGCCCAAGGCTGGAAGGAGAGACTCTCAGAAGGTAAGTGTTCTACTTCATGTGTTCCCAGGATGGCACCTAGAACCCAGTATATTCATATGTACCTAGAGCCAGAGGCTCCATACAATAAACACTGGGCTGTGAACCCCAACATCTGTGGCTGAGCCCACCAGCTGTTCCGCTGGCTGAAGCTTTCTGCTCCCGCAACGATTTAAGTAAGCTTTGAAATTAAAGGGTAAAGATACGAAATCTGTAAAAGAAAATGACGTTTGCAATAGAATGGAGTTGTTGCCAGGAGAACCCAGAGATCTTTTGACCTCAATTACCGAAAAGTACTTTTAAAGTGGTCTGCAAATGTATTTTTATTCCACTTAATGGCACTATTTTTTTTTTCTTTAGTGGCACTTAGACACTACCTTACCATGAAGCTATTTGACAACTTCTATTATACTCACATGACAATATTCTGATTTTTGCATGAATCTTTCATAGCTTATAAATAGTTTAAAAGTTGCAAAAAGCCGTTTTCTATTCAGTATCTGCATTTGTTTTTTAATACATTACAGGTGAATTTACACCTGAGATGCAGGTGAGAATTCGACAAGAAATTGAAAAGGAGAAAAAAGTGGAGCCATGGAAAGAACAATTCTTTGAAAGCTACTATGGTCAGAGGTAAACATCAAGATAGCTTTTGTAGACCAGTGTTACTTCTGATGTGATTGTCAATGTTTCATCTCATTACCTTGCCAGAAAATCTGTCGTTATTTTTATTTCATCTTCTTTACTGTGATAAGGTGTATTTCTTTTTTTAAGTTTTGTTGTTGTGGTATGTGCCGTGGAGTCGGTTCCGACTCATAGCGACCCTGTACAGGGTTTCTGAGGCTGTAAATCTTTACGGGAACAGAAAGCATCATCTTTCTCCCGCGGAGCAGCTGGTAGTTTCGAACTGCTGACCTTGCGGTTCCCAGCCCGATTTGTAACCACTACGCTACCAGAGCTCCTTAGGTACACAAAAATGGATTGCTCATAATACTTGACTCTTAACACACCACCATCATGAGCAAGATGTTGTTGTTGTTTTGTTTTTTGTTGTTTTTTTTTTTTAAAAGCTTTTATTATCTTGAATTAAATGGGGAACTTTATTTTTTAAATAATTGGCTGGTTTTCCCCAATAACTTTTTATATGATATAAGAATGCTAAAGTTATATACAAATTTCTATAATATTTAAGCATCCCAAAAATGACAGCTTGTTTAGAGCCATTGAAGAATCCTAATAGTCTGGTAACATGGACCCATTATACCCAAAGTGTAATTAAACAGGCCCTTTGCACTCTGGGAAATCTATAGCTAAATCACAATGTAAGCCCTCTCCTCAAGGATTGTAGTCTGATTTTCTGTTTTCCTAACATAAAGTCCAAATGAATTCTTAATGGGAACACATGAACAGGTGATCATGTGACTGTTCTGCTTAAAACCGAGTTAAATACCAAAAGTCATATTTGTTTCTAAATTTCCCTTCCTGCCTTTTGCATACTGCCCATTTTTTCCTTAGCCATTCCACCTCATAAATGTGGTCGTAATTATTTGAAGTCACCTGAGAAGGCTGTTCTGGTTTTTGTTGTGCTTGTTACACAATATTCTACAACATTAGGATGAGTTCTAGTGACTCCTAAGAAGTAGGATAGCTCTTTCTCAGGACACAATATGGAAATCCCATTTGGACTGCACCACCCGTAGAATCATTCATAAACACCTGAACTCAGAACTTTAGAGAGCTATACCCATCAAGATTTAAACAGATTTTCTGAAAACTCATGAAGTTCTAATGATCATTTCCCTGTTTGTAAACGTTGATGTGTACCTCTAGACCCTGTGGCCTCATTATAAGCAGAAGTAGGAATAATAACTAATACTGAGCTTTTATTATGGTCTAGGTACTGTTCTAAGTGCTTTTCACTATAATAACACTATGAAGTAATTGGAGTCCTGATGTGGTGCTGTAGAATAAGCACTGGACTGCTTAACCAAAGGTTACTGATTCAAACCCACCAGCTGCTCCTCAGAAACCCTATACAGGGTTGCTATGGGTTGGAACAGACTGGACAACACTTAACAACAACATGAAGTAATTAATCTTCTAAATACTCTGTACTTCAGTGTACAGTTGAGGAAGCTGAGATACAGAAGACTGGTTAACTTAAGAGCACAAGGACAGTTTGTATCAGAGCTAGAATTTGAATCCAGGTACTCTGGCTCCAGACCCTCCACTTAATGGAAATATGACTGATAATGAAAATAATGACTTGAAGGATACATACTTTGTGTCAGTAGTTCTTATAGGCATTGTCATATTCTATTATCTCATAATGCCTTCAATAACATGGTCTATTTCTCAACTAGAATATTTCTTTCTTCCATTTTTTTCAGCTCTGGCCTGAGCCTTGAGGAGTCAAAGAAATTGATAGCTTCTACAAGTGATCCCAAAGTAAAGAAAATCCCTGCTGAGCAACCAAAATCCATGCTTCCTTCAGAAGCCTCTCCTATCAGAATAGTCCCAGCAGTTCCCCAATCAGAGTCTAAAGAAGAAGTAGTACAAATGCCATCTCCAGTGAAAAAAGAAGAGACTGAGAGCCAAGATACGGTGCACCCAAACTCCTCCCAATCCACAGAGCTCTTACTTTCCTCAGTTAGTAATACAGATGAGTTTAGCAGCACTCTTCCTATCAAATGCCTAAAGGATGAGGATCTCATGGAACAGAAGCCAGTTGCCACTGCTGAACAGGAGTCTGAGAAAGAGAATCAGCTCACCACACCTTCTAATTGTAACAAAAGTGAAAGCCAAGATGCTCTAGTTACATCCCCAAGCAAACCCAAGAGTCCTGGAGTGGAAATATCAATTATGAAGCCCATAGGAGAAGCAGGTCCACAGGACACAAGTATGAAACTGCCTCCATCAACTCCTGTTGATCAGAGCCCGGAAGGTCTCAAGAGGAAATCTCCTCTCACCCAAGAGGAGCCCCCTGTCAGCTGGGAAAAGAGGCCACGTGTCACTGACAATTGCCAGCACCAACAGCCATTTCAAGGCTCGCCACAGCCCTTTCTCAATAGAGGGGACAGACTACAGGTGCGAAGAGTCCCACCACTCAAGGTAAGAGTGTGGAGGACTGAAAAGGAGAATGGTCTGAATTTTTTTATCACACCTACTAAATTTCAAGACATTTATATTATTTCTTAATAATGCAGAAGCAATTGTGTATATTTTGCATGCATATAACTGATCTTAAAAGAAAGAAAGTATTATTTCTGGAGAGATAAACAAGTATTTAGAACTGTATTCCTACAGGTCATTATTGACATTTAAATAAGGAAGAAAACTGGATTATATCTGACGCTTCCCCTAACTACCGTACCAGGTATCCTAAGACAGTATGAAAATTACTCTTTCTTGTGTAACATAAAATAAGTATGGGAATAAGATTGAAGAGGCCATTGTTAAGATTAAAAAGTATAATGTATTTGTCCCAATAGCCATGATGTTTTAGGTGCACCGTGGCCCTTTATTTACTGACATAATTAATTTGATGTTCTATTCTCTGTAGCAACTTTCAGCTGCCTTGTATTAGAGGATATGGTTTTCTTGAAGGATATTAGTAAAATGGAATAGCCTTGCTAAGCTTTACTATATAGCATATGTCTTTAACTTCTGTGTAGCCCTATCTTGCTGCATACCAAAACATTCTAATTTCTGTAGGCAGTGCCTCTGCTTATCTTGGTACATAAAGACTTGCATGTTAACAGGGGTGAGCCCTGTAAAACCCAAATACATTATCACCGCTGACCTTATAGGTTTATGAGTAGTTTGTGCTCAATATCAGTTTGCAGTTCATTAATTCATGTAATAAGTCATATTATTTGTCTGTTATGTGTCATGAATCTATTCTTGTTGGAATAAAAATAGAAAAGCAAACCAAATGTTGTTGTGGTTAGGTGCCATCGAGTCGGTACCGACTCATAGTGACCCTATGCATAACAAACAGAACAAAACACTTCCCGGTCCTGGACCAGCCTCACAATTGTTGCCACTCTTGAGTCCATTGATGCTGCCACTTGGCCAGTCCATCTCACTGGGTCTCTTCCTCTTTTTCTCTGACCCTCCACCTTACCAAACATGGTATCCTTCTCCAGCAACTGGTCCCTCCTGACAATATGTCTGAAGTATGAGAGGCGAAGTTTGGCCATCCTGGCCTCCAAGGAGCACTCTGGCTGTACTTCTTCCAATACAGATCTGTTGGTTCTTTTGGCAGCCCATGGAACTTTCTCAATATTCTCCTCCAACACCATAACTCAAAAGCATCAATTCTTCTACAGTCTTCGTTATTTGTTAGTCAAACTTCATTTGCATATGAAATTATTGAAAATACCATGGCTGGGATGTCCTCAAGCTAATGTCTTTGCTCTTCAACACTTTAAAAAGGTCTTGCGCAGCAGATTTGCCTAATGCAATACAAAGTTTGATTGCTTGACTATTGCGTCCATGAGTGTTGATGGTTGATCCAAGAAGAATGAAGTCCTTGACAACTTCAGTCATTTCTCTGTTAAAACAACATTCTCTGATCAAAGAATTTTTGGTCCAGTGGTGAGGATTTTTGTTTTCTTTACATTGAGATGCAGTCCATACCAAAGGCTGTGTGTGATCTTTCTTCTTTATCATCTTCATCAGTAAGTATTTTAAATACTACTCTTCACTTTCAGCAAGTGAGGTTGTATCATCTCCATATCACAGGTTGTTAAAGAATCTTCCTCCAAATCCTGATGCCATGTTATTTTTCATATAACCCAGGTTCTTGGATTATTTTCTCAGCATACAAGTTGAATAAGTATAGTGAAAGAATACAACTGTGTCGCATACCTTTCTTAATTTGAAACCATTCAGTGTTCCCTTGTTCTGTTTGAACAACTGCCCCTTGGTCCGTGTACAGATTCCTCATGAGCACAATTAAATGACCTGGAACATTGTCCGTAGCTTGTCATGATCCACATAATCAAAAGCCTTTGTTGTAGTCAATAAAGCACAAGTAAACATCTTTCTGGTATTCTCTGCTTTTAGCCAAGATGCATAGGACATCAGCAATGATATTCCTTGTTCCATGTCCTCTCCTGAATCCGGCTTGAACCTCTGGAAGTTCTCTGTCAATGTATGCTTGCAGCTGTTTCTGTATTACCTTTAAGTAAAATTTTACTTACATAGAATATCAAAAGTGTTGTCCGATGATTTCCACATTCTGTGGGGTCACCACCTCTCTTTGGAATGGGCACGAATATGGATCTCTTCCAATCAGTTGGCCAGATAACTGTCTTCCAGATTTCTTGGCAGAGATGAGTGAGTGCCTCCAGTGCTGCCTCATTTTCTTGAAAGATTTCAATTTTTATTCCATCAATTTCTGGTGCCTTGTTCTTTGACAATTCCTTCAGTGCACCTTGAACTTCTTCCTTTAGTGTCATTGGCTCTTGATCATATGCTGCTTCTTGAAACAGTTAAACATCAACCATTTCCTTTTGGTACAGTGACTCTGTATTCCTTCCATCTTCTTTTGATACTTTTTGCATCATTCAGTAATTTTCCCAGAGAATCCTTCAATAACAGAAGTCAAGGCTTGAATTTTTTCTTCAGTTCTCTCAGCTTGAGAAATGCTAAGCATGCTCTTCCCTTTTGGTTTTCTGACTCCAGATCTTTGCACATTTTGTTGTAATATTTG